GTGGTTTTTATCACAAAGGTTTTGGCCAAATGCACTGTGCTGCAGACTTTGTCTCCGCCTAAAAAGATGGCTAACTGTTTTCAAAAAAAAATGAAAGGCATACTTTTTGTCCTTTATAGATGTGATACCACACTGAAGTACCACCAAAATCGATGTGAAAATCGGTAAACGATCCTCGAACACTCAGTAGACAGTAGCTAAAAATAGTTTTTAGAAGAGGTTCCCCTCGCATCTGCCATCACTGCTCGCCAAGAATAAGAAATTGTAAATTGTAATAAACACTTTCGTATTTGAAGGATGGAGAAAATATAAAAATTCATTAAAAAAAGAGAAAAACAGGATGTAAAGTCATCTGTTTCCAATTGGTAAGGTACGTCATCGTGATCTAGGAATAGCAACATTCAGAAGGTGATACTTAACACCAAAAACATCTCAAAATGGCTGAAGTATTGTCAGCTGCTTTTGTTTAGAAAAAAAGCTGAGCTAATGATGCTTTTAAGAAAAAAAATGAGCATCAGGATCTATACCACCAAACGATGTAACATTAAATGTTAATAGTTGCTGGGTTGTAGAATCATACAGTGAACTGGCATCTCATTTATGATGTAAAATTAAAATTCTGCATGATCGAAGTCAAAACCTCCAGCACATCTTCCCCTGTAGAATATACAAAAATACTTGAAACTCAAATCACATTTCACCAATTAATCCCTACCGGAAGAACCGTATCGTTCAAGATCAAGAATATGTAACAAAATACACACTTTTGCACTTTTGGGAAAGTTGTCGGACAATTGCGTAGTTCCTTTGGCCAGTACAGCTCAACCCAGTCAATTTCGCGTGCCACTGTTGGCGCACGAATCCGTTTTGCAAGAGGTGTAAGAGAGAATTCAAGCGATAAAAGATTGAGTAATTTTTCTCGTTCTGCTGGCGGAGACCTAAAATTGGCACATTCAGAAATTTTACACGAAAAAGGCTAGCATTAAAAAGGTGCTCTCATTTCGTTTCTGCGTGTCATAAAAAGGATTCAAAAAAAAGTAAAAAAATTACTCGTAATATCGGACGAAATCTCGAAGCATCATTCTGCGGCTGCTTTGAGTCATTACGCCAACTACCTCCACCTCACAGTCACCGACTGCCTTTAGCACGCACTGCGCCGTCAGTGTCCCATCGCTAGGCATCCTCAAAAAGTTTAGCTGCTGAAGAAAATTACACAGAGTTGCAGAAGAATGGTCTGATTATTACAGTGTTGTTCACAAGTGCAACACTTTCTCATAAAGAAATACACTTCTAAGAATGGACCGGAAGGAAGGAATGATTCCCTTAGCTCAAAATGAGAATATACTACAGATACCTTAATCTGCGGGCACAAAAAACGTCATGGATTTCTGGTGGCAGCTAAAAATACTGCATGGAACAAAAAGCCAGGAGACAAGTGACCAACAGCGAGGCATATCGGCGCGGACGGTTGCGTGTCTTATTTTGTGAATTAGCCAACTTTAATTCTCCGGAACCCACCACAGATTGCGAAATGTGCTTGCAAGTTCTCCAAATTCACTTGAGGTGTGAAAAATGTTTTCTAATTTATCAACATCGACAAGCATTTTCAAAATTAATTCAAAACCTGCGTAATCCATATGTAAACAATACTTGTACGACAATCACACAAAAGTACCTGCCCGATGAGCAAAGAGCTGGAGTGCAGTCCCACTGAAAACACTACAGCACTCTTCCAGATCAGTGGGAGTACCCGTCTCTCATGTTAACTCAAGTAAAAATCCAAATAACGAGACAGTATAGGTAAATAATGAGATAGTATGGCCAATTGTGGTAACGGTAAGGAATGTATACGACTTAATGGACCGAAACATTTCTTACTCATGTAAATATTTCTTTAATACCATTTTCCTCGTTTTCTTTTCATATTTTCCCTTTAAACCTAAATGTTTTGCAATAAGCCAATAAAATGTCGGATTAATTTTAAATGTTTTCTGAACACTCACTTCATCCCAAGTGCACTCACAGAATCCTTGAAAAGAAGCGGTTCTTCGAGCCCGTGTTCCCGTACATATTCCACTGTGAAATCTGAAAAACACTGTGAGCTATCTTGTAATGAAAGTACTCTCACCTAAGTAGACCATAAATGATACCAATAATTCAGCACATAGTTCATTCGTTTACTTCCAATAATTCAGTACACAGTTCATTCACTTATTTCACTCTGCCTTGACAACACATTAAAAAAAAAAAAAATAGCAGCGCCCGTCAGACTAGCCGGGTGCGATCATGCGTTTTGTGCAATTCAGCCCATCGAACGATTGCCTATTAATGATTTTCACTGTTTTTTACTTTATTCTATGCAAAAATAGTTCAAACGTTGGAAAACAGTTAAAAATTTCACGCACCAGCGCATGAAACCTGAATCTTTTCGTGATTCCCGAGTTAATAGTTTACTCGCCAAAACTTTCACAAGACCGTAGTGATACCCGAGAGCGCGAGAACGCTGAATTTGAATGGGCAAGGTTAAGCGTGGGTCATTACCCTAAAATTTCAGCCTCCTAGACTCCGTGGTTCCTGAGATATTAACTTACCCGTAAAAAACTTTCGCGGGGCCGTAGGCGTTACCGGGGGGCACGGGGAAGCTGAATTTAAATTTGCGGGGTCACAAAATTTTCAGTTCCCTAACTTTTGTGGTTCCCGAGTTGAAAGTTGCGGACAAGTTTCTGCGGTCACACAATACATACAGACGACTCTGTGACAGTGTGCATTTCGTACTGCTGTTACACAGCAAAAAACGCATAATAAATAGATAAGAATTCATTAGCACTAAAAAAAATGGCTTTAACACCGACGTCTCCCGTCAACATTCATCAATAGACATACCCCTCTTCCCTCTTATTCTTCCCAAAACAAAAGAAAAAGCGGAACGAAATTCCAGCGAATGCCAGGGCCACAAGCAGGTGGACCACCCGGTGATGCAGTATCAGTCAGAGGCAACGGTTACCTTTGTTGCATCAACGGCGAATACGAAACAACAGCTGATCAAATGTTCTCAAAACAAAAAAAGTTGTACTGCATTTTGTAACGCTGGACGATATATGGCAAGGGAAATCCAGCCTCTCAACAGAAAGCCTCGCTCTATACAAAGTGATAGTGTATTACCGAGGCCCCATAACATTTTGGTGCCGGTGGTTTTTTCGGTAAATGCTCGCTTTGTGAAAAAAAGACAAATGCAAATTTTTTGAAAAAACGCAAATTTTCACTTCACTAAAAAGTGGAAGTATTGCTCGAGCGGTCGTTTGTCAAAAAATCCACTTTCATTTGCATATGCGACTGCGTGCTTCCAACTATAAAGGCAAAATGGAAACTCCAATCACACCACATACTCAAACCGCTTGTTAACACAAGCGGATGTTTTCGAAATTTTAATTGGAATGCATGAACAGCATAAAAACACTATGCCCAACGTATCAGAGACAACAATATCGCTGGGATAAGCGATGTGGGGTTCTCAGATTAGTGATGTTACTGGGATGTTTTCATATGCCGAGCGCAGCTATGCAGATCCTTCGCTCCTAAAACGAAAGCTCCAGCAAATATCCAAGTCTTCCCGATGTACACCTTTTCAGGTCCAAAATAATCATCTCAAATCTCAGTAATTTCATCCTCCAAACCTTCCAGAACTGGGAAAAGCACACAGGATGCTGGTGTTAGAAAGGCAACTGCACGTGTTCAGGGGCCACTGTTTATACCAGAAGATGCGGTAATAATCTATTATCCACGTGTGATTTGAATTCTAGTTTTCAGAATTTTATGTGTTTCGAATAACTCTCGCCTCAGAGATTTTTAAACTTCTCTGGGATTAATAAAGCCCGAGTTGAAAAAAAAGTCGTTAGTGACGTTTACTTTTCAGCTAACGACTTACCAGAAGCATTAATCTCTCTGACAAAATCTGGAAATTCAAATTCTTTCTTTACGCGCATTTCGGCTAAGTCATACGTCCATAACGTGTTGAGTACTCCATCCTCCTCTTCCTCCTCCTCATCTTCATCATCATCATTGATTTCCTCCCCCTCCCTGTCCGGAAAGTCCTTGGCCGGCCTGGCCGTGCTCTTCTTCCGCTTGTTCGCCACTTCTTGCTCCAGGAAATCCGCATCTTCCGCGCTTTCGCCGCTACTGAACCATTCTTCCGCTGAACTGGATGACTCATCCAATCTTCTCTGCAATTTCAATTATCATTAACTGACCTGCTTATCACAGCCGTATCACTGTATCCATCTGGAAAACTGTCCAACATTTCCGATGGAATACACTGATTATTTGCACATCTGGAAGCCAGGACTTCCCGAAGACCGCAGCAGCAGAAGAAGAGGTTCAA